TTTGTATAACCGGTTGTTACCTGTCCCTGCTTTCATGTTTTGGTTTTTCAGTAATGCTTCCAGAAAACTCAAGGTTTCAAAATACATTCAAAAGGTTGAATTGATTTATTTCTCAGTTGAAAGCAAAATCTGAAGTTATATATGTCACAAATGAGGTGAAGTACTGAAAGATACTTTTTTTAAATTTTTGCATTCTGCCATTAGATAACTTCTTAAGTTGTATTTATGGCCAGATCGTTTCTTACCTATTCTTTTTGTTGTACTCTGCAATGGATGATGGTGTTGATAGTGAACTATCCCCTATAATTCTGAAATCTTTCATTGTTCAAGGACAAATTAAGTCTTTCTACTAGCCTTTGAGATTGAATGATGGCTCATTAGTTGGATACATCAGATATATAGCTTGAGACTTATCAAGAAACAAACAGTTTTCCTATGTCATTCACTTGTGAGTTTTGCTGTTTCCTCACATCCACGTTACTATTGCTAGCAGGATATAATTCTTGTTCAAGTTCAAAGAATTCTATTGTAGTACATTCTGATACTTCTAAATATGTATAAGCCATTTTTTATGTTTAAAGAGAAACAATTAATTATTTACTTTTCAGTTATAAAAATATTTTGATAACTTCAATATGTGAAGCATCATTGCTGAAAGGGAAAAATGTGCATTTTTTATCTCTTTAAGTCTGTATGTCATCATCATCATGGCTAGGCTTCGCGAACGAAGATTTGGGAAGGGCTCTACCCACTTTTCTTGCAAGCACATTGGTGGCTAAAGAGGCCAATACGAGATAGGCAAGTCTGGTTGCAAAAGACACAGCAGAAAGACTCCTTAGATGGTATGTTCTGCAAGGCACGATTCTTTCTGTGTTGTCTTTTCTCCTCAAGAATGAACCTGCATGCTTTCTCAAAAGCATCAGCAGTGTTATAGATGGTGTGTCTCCATGTCTCTCGATTGGAGGCCAGAGTAGACCAGTTATGTTGGTCAATATGGCCAAGGTTGAGATGGTGTTTCAGGGAGTCCTTGTATCTTCTCTTTGGGGCCCCTCTATTGCGGCAACCAGTGGCAAGTTCACCATAAAGCAAGATCTTGAGGAAGCAGTGGTCCTTCATCCTGGAGACGTGCCCTGTCCAACGCAGCTGTGTTCTCAGTAACATGGCCTCAATACTTGTGATTGCTGCTTGTTCTAGAACAGATGTATTGGTCACGTAATCTGACCAGTGGATATTTAGGATTGTATGGAGGCAGCGTTTATGGAAACGTTCTAGGAGACACAGGTGGTGGCGGTAGATGACCCATGATTCAGATCCAAATAAGAGAGTAGACAGCACTATACCTCTTTAAACACTGATCTTTGTACTTTTCTTCAAGTGTTTATTTCGCCAAACTCTTTTACGAAGCTTACCGAAGGCACTATATGCCTTTGCTAACCTGTTGCCTATCTCTCCATCAATCTTACCATCCGAGGAGATGAGGCTGCATAGGTAATTCAACTGCTGAACTGATTTGAGCTCTGATTCGCCAATGGTGATATGGGGATGATGGAAGACTTCCTGAGGTGCAGGTTGATAGAGAACTTCTGTCTTCTTTAAGCTGACTTCCAGCCCAAAGAGCTCAGCAGCCTCTGCAAAGCAGGATGTTAAACGCTGCAGGGCTGCTTCTGTGTGTGCAACAAGGGCAGCGTCATCAGCATAAAGCAGTTCCCGGACAAGATGGTTTAAGGTCTTAGTGTGGGTCTTCAGTTACCTTAGGTTGAATAGGCTTCCATCAGTACGATATCGAATTTAGATACTGTCCTGATCATCGAGGTCTGCCATGGCCCTTTGGAGCATCATGCTGAAAAAGACTGTGAATAGGGTAGGAGCGAGAACGCAGCCTTGTTTCACACCATTCTTTATTAGAAAGAGCTCAGAAAGTGTGTTGCCATATCTGACTTGGCCGTGCTGATCCTCATGAAGTGAGATGATCATTTTAAGGAACTTGGGGGGACAACCTAAACGTTCCAAAATCTGCCAAAGACCTTTTCTGCCCACAGTATCGAAAGCCTTGGTGAGGTCGACAAAGGTTACATAAAGACCTTTGTTCTGTTCCCTACACTTCTCTTGCAGTTGTCTGAGAACAAATATCATGTCTGTGGTGCTCCTGTTGATTCTGAAGCCACACTGACTTTCAGGTAGAATTCCTTCTGCTATAGCGGGTATTAGTCTGTTCAAGAGTATTCTTGCCAGGATTTTGCCAGCAATGGAGAGCAGAGTAATACCTCAGTAATTTGAGCAGTCTGATTTAATTCCTTTCTTCTTATACAAGGTGATGATGACTGCATCACAAAGGTCTGATGGTAGTTCGCCTAGTTCCCAACAGCGCACCACAAGCTCATGAAATTTAGCATGGAGTGCAAGGCCCCCATGTTTCCAGACTTCAGGTGGGATTCCATCAACCCCAGCTGCCTTGCCAATTTTCACCTGCTGTATGGCCTTGAGGGTTTCTCCTAAAGTGGAGGCAGTATCCAATTCGTATTTCACCGGTTGTTGTGTGATAGACTGAATTGCTGAGTCTTGAACTACACGGTTGGTACTGAAAAGAGTCTGAAAGTGTTCAGACCATCTATTCAGAATGGAGATTTTATCTGTTAGAAGCGTTTGACCATCTGCACTGAGTAGTGGGCTTTGGACCTGGTATGTAGGCCCGTATGCTGTTTTCAGGGCCTCATAGAATCCTTTGTGATCCCCTGTATCTGCACATAGTTGAGTTTTTTCAGCTAGATCGGTCCACCATTTGTTCTGGATGTCACGGAGTTTCTGTTGGAGCTTGCTGCATGCAAGACGAAAGGCTTTTTTTCTTGCGTGACAGGATGGCAGTGCAAGGTGTGCTTGGTGGGCAGTTCTCTTCTTCCTCAGCAAGTCCTCGATTTCTTGATTGTTTTCATCAAACCAGGCCTTGTTCTTCTTGAGGGAGAACCCTAAGGATTCTTCAGAGGATTGCAGGATGCTGCTTTTAATATGCTGCCAAATTGTTTCAGGGGAGGAATCTGCAGAATCTGTGGAATGGTTTTCGAGCCTAGTTTGAAGGTTTGCCTGGAATCTTTCTCTTACTGTGGCTGATTGGAGATCGTTAACTTGGAGTCTGCTCCTTGGGATACTGCCCCTTTTGGGTTTGAGTTTGAGATTAAAGTTGAGTTTAGAGCGCACAAGCTGATGGTCTGTTTGACATTCTGCGCTGGTTGTCATGCGAGTATGGAGGACATCGCAGACATCTCTCCGTCGCACCAAGACATAATCAATGAGGTGCCAATGCTTAGACCTGGGGTGCATCCATGTTGTCTTCAGACTATTTTTCTGCTGAAAGATAGTTTTGGTGATGGTAAACTGTTGCTCCGCACAGAATTCTAGCAGAAGTCGACCGTTATCGTTGCAGTTTCCAACACCATGCTTCCCTAATATTCCTTTCCATGCTTCAAAATTTTTACCTACTCTGGCATTGAAATCACCAAGGATAATCTGCTGGTACCTTTTGGGTAAGGTGGCGCAGGTCAGTGTAAAATTTATCTTTTTCAGCAGGGTCGGCTTGGAGAGTTGGGGCATATATACTGAAGATGACAACGTGATGCTTGTTGTTAAGTGGAAGGCGTAGAGAGATAATGCGGTCAGAGTGACCTGTCGGCAGATTTTCGAGTTTAGGGACAATAGAGTTTTTGATCATGAACCCAACTCCTGAGAGATGTTTTTCGGTTCTGGGCTTACCTGACCAAAAGAGTGTGTAACCGGCGCCACGTTCTCTGAGGCTGCCTTCCTCGTGAAGGTGAACTTCACTGAGAGCAGCAATGTCGATGTTGAGATGGGCCAGTTCATGGGCAATTAGGGCAGAACGTCGCTCAGGAGGTCCGCTATTCGCAGAATCGAGCATGGTTCTGATGTTCCAACATGCTAGAGTTAATTTAGGTACACCTTTGGAGGCAGGTGCCTGCCTTAAGTCTGTACGTAAATGAAAAAAAAAACAAAACCAAAAAAACCCAAATAACTAATATACTCTTGGCAATAGATTAGGGATGCTATTCTACTATGGGATTTTTAATTTAAATTACTGATGAATCCTGGAATATTTGCCTTACTGAGAACAAGTGATTTCATCTGTGAGTAGTGTAATACCAAAGCAGGTCTAAGACTATTACCACCTTCTCAAACTCTGTTCTAGATATTGCTGTAATATTTATATTTCCATTCTTGCCTCAAAACACTCTGTGGAGAATAGTCATACGAAGCTTCTTAAGGATTGATATACTCCTCTGAGGGAACTCTAGCAAGGTTTATGTAGAGATTGAGGTCTTGCTTGAGTAAGTTGCCTTGCTGCTATATTTCTCGTGTACATGTTCACAGTTTGCTAACTAACTTATTATACAGTAAGGCTTATGATAAAAGCCAAACTCTTGCTTGGTTGCATTGTTTTCAGAGCACTTCCAGGAGTTTTCTTGTATGGTATTTCTTTTCCTGAAGAAACTGTTCCTTGTGCTAAATTAGCAGTGCAAAACCAGAGCAAGATTTAAGCAGTCTCAAAAATGAATCTATATCTATGTTTCTTAATTGATCTACACACCATTGTGAATTTTTTGGAGAGCTTAAAACAATGGATGTAAAGCTGCCTTTTTTTTTTTTAAGGAGTTTCTACTTAAAAAACAAAGTTTTATCAATTCAGTAGTTAAATTGGGTACTTTATTTTGCAAAGATTTGATTCAGGATTCTCCTTCCACGTCCAGCAGTAGAGTTAAGGAAAACTTCTTAAAGAACAGATGGCCAACTAAAATTTGAAATACACCTTTTTTCTGGTATTTCACATTTTTCATACATGCACGTATACACATATATATGTATTTGCTTAGACCACACTAAATGTATTCATGTATGTGCATGCCATATATCTATATCCATAGATAACATGCATAGTAGATTTTAACTATTTCTTATACATTATCTTTAATGCATTTAAAATGCTTTCTTTGCAGAATTTGAAAACTCATTTAGCAGAGGCAAGAGAACAAATAAAAGAGTTATGCAGTATATACGGTAACTTGTCATCTCAGGTAGCTGTGAAACAAGAAGAACTCTTCCAAAAGAATTGTGATGTGATCAAAACTAAGTAAGTATTTCATAATTTCATTACCTTCAAGTCTGAATCTTCTCAAAAAGGCTACTGTTTCACTTACAAAGCAGTATCTTGCATTAGAAGTATTTTTGTGCAACAGTGTATTTTAATATCATTCTGTTCCACAGGATGTAAGGCTTTCGAAAGACTACCAGTTTATGTAGACTCACTCTGATATATTTTGACAGTTGGCCTATTTTACCAGTTTTTGAGTACGTATAGACTTGTACACTTCTGTAATTGACATTGGGTCGGAGAACTACCAATCTCTCCTGGAAGTAACAAACTAACAATATGATTAGTCACATAAATATTAATTAGAGAAGCTAAATACCCTGAACTTGGAAAAGATTTAAACCTAAGTTTACCTCTCTCATTAGAGTCAAATCTGACAAGTCAGCAAAAATCTACATAGGCCTGTGCTAAATGTTTAAAGTGCAGTGATTTAAGCTTTATCTTAAATCTCACACACTATTTCTTTACACTGAATCTGTAAGATTAGTACTGCGTTATTTGAGTCTTGGAAAAGAAATGAAGGACAGAATGAATTATATGAATTGACTAGACTACTGAATTCCTCAGAATGAAGGTAATGGCAGAAGACAATCAGTTACTTTAGGTGGATTGTCAGGAAATTGTCCATTTTTCACTTCTTAGTTTCAGAGGCATACACAGTACTTCGCTTCTATGTTAGACAAATAGTATTTCCTTCAATATTCCTTCAAACTGTGGTTATGCCTGAAGAGCTGCAGTTGGGATGTAGAAATCATTGGTATGGATACTTCTCTTTGCTTTCCAGGCAGAAATAATCTTTCTATAGGAAGTCAGTATCTTAAGTGTTTTTGGAAAAAAAGCCCCAAGAAATATTTTTTATGCATCTGACCTTAATTGTTACCCTAGTATTTGTTGAAATCTCTGCAAGAAAAATATCTTGTTATTTTCGTGTTTAAAAGGAGTAAATACCATTGGGTTTCAAAAAGTCAATAAAAATAGGCAAGTTTATTGGGAAATTGTATTGATAGAGGCAGTCAGTGGAATTTGTGAAATTCAGCAATGGACTAATAGAATTTATCACCTGAAATTATTCTCAGTAGTATATATATGTGTGAGAGGACTAGGGACAGCAAAGAAGGCATTTTAAGGTTGGATAGTTAAGGTAAGAAAATTTACTGCTTGATGGTTTCCGTTTACGATAGTCTGAGTTGGCCAAATCACTGAACTTCAAATTTCTCAAAATGTTGTATTCTTTGCTATTCACTGGAGCTGAAAAAGACCTTATTTGCAAATGTCTCTGTTCTCCCCACTGCTCTGTCTCCTTGTGTCCTGGTTTTAGATAGGGTGTAGTTAATTTCTTCTCAGTAGCTGTTACGGAGCTGTGTTTTGGACAGTGCTTATCAGAATGAGAATGGTGTTGATAACAAACTGATGCGGGTTTTTTATGCTAATTGTGTTTATCCTAAGTCAAGGATTTTTTTTCTTTTCCTTGTCCCATGCCCTGCCAGTGGGAGGGAACACAGCCGGGACAGGTGGCCGGAACTGACCAAAGGGATATTCCACACCATAGAATGTCATGCCCAGTAAATAAACAGTTAACTGAAAGGGGGACTGGGTTCAGAAAAGGGGACCTGATGTCAGTCAGTGAGTGGTGAGCAATTGCATTGTGCATCACTTATTTCCTTTTTATTATCATTATTGTTATTATTTACCATAATTATTTATTTTATTTTATTTTCAATTATTAAACTGTTCTTATCTCAACATGCAAGTTTTACTTAGATTCTCCTCCCCATTCAACCGGGGTCAGGGGGTCGGGTGTTGAGAGAGTGGCTGCAGGGTGCTTGATTTCCACTGGAGCTTAAATTGCGATACCCTGTCTGCTGCCTTCCTATCTTCCCCACCTTCCTCTTTTTTTAAAACAGACTAGGAACACAGTTGTAATTATTAGAAACAAACTCTGGAAGAAGAAAGGAAGGAAACAGGCTTCCTTCGTTTGTTATCTTCTTTCATAGGGAGCATAGGCAGATCCAGAAAAATACACCTTGACCTCACTGAGTTTAGTTTCAAACTCCTGAATTAGCTGGGAAATGCATTCCCTGGTTATATTTTTCATGTTTGCATTCAGTACAGATTTTCTGGATCTATTCAGAGTCCCTGATAGCCTTTCCATTCTCATGTTCTCAAAGAACATAAAATCTTGCCCGTTGTTTCTGAAGATTAATTCCAATGCATCTCTGTGATTTTCGTTTTAAAATTATGCTAAATGCAAGATCTAGAACTTCGTGGTCTGAACAGTTGGTGGTCTGAGTCTCACTGACACAGAGCTCTAGTGGAACTCTGAACAACAAACTGGAGAGGTTTGCTTGACTCACTGGGACTTTAGCCTTGCTGTCGCAGGTATCCAGGAAGTGCTAAACTGTTTGCAAATATAGTAAGCTCTATTCTAAAATGAATTAGAATTTCTTGCCCCTGTATTTTTAGTGGAAGTGTGGGCCATGACTTTATTCCTTTGATTAGTGCATAGTCCAAATGTACCCCTGATGATTTTCCAAGTACTTCTTTTGTAGTAATATTGGGTTTTCTTCCCCCTTAGTTCACATTCTTGTCAGATTTGAGTACCAAAGCTGTCCCTATCCTTAACAATAGTAATGACTTTAAAATAGTTATTTTCAGTACAAGGTGTCAAATATTTTGAGTCTTTCTGCAGTCCAGTTCCTAGTGTCTTTGTGTAGCATTCTTGCCATACTGAAAGCAAAGTCTACTAAGGATATTGGAACAACCATCTTACTTTAGTGGTTGAAATAATTTAGTAATGCTTCTATTTTGACTTGAGAAAGACCTGACTGTTTTTCATACCATGCTGATTATTGTTGTGTAAAGAGTACGGGTCACTTTCTGTAAATTTCTTCATTTCCCATTGTATTCATCTTGAGGTATTATATCGGAGACAGAGAGGTATTTTTTAATTCCTCAGCGCTACCTAGTGATTTCACCGTTAAATGGATTTAAATGCTCTCAGTGTATCATAGTGTGTTTATTTATGGGAAGTGTAGGGATGATGGGGAAAAAGTAGCCTTGAGGAGTGCTTCTGTTTGGGTCTTAGCTGATAGAATATTGTTTTTTTCAAATACTGTTGCTGGTGGTGACTTTTTTCTTAAATTTGTGTTTGTTTAGAGTTACAGTATATTGTACTGTATTTTATCAATATGTGCTTATGTTTGTATACACATATCCTACTTGTATCTATGTATATACACTTTCACATATAATTTATATATTTTATGTGTTGATGTATATATTTCTATATCTCTGTTTATGTACGTATAGATGCCTATATATACTTATGTATGGGTGTGTATATAGGCACTTATATTTTAAATGTGACTCATTACCTTTGTTACATTCAATTTTCAATTTTTGATTGTTTCTTCTCTACATGCTCACCCAAGAGTATGATTTTTCTGGGGACACCTGCTAGGCGGGTGTCTGTCTTGTAGAGTTGTTTACTAGTTCACTACTTTGAGTAAGCATGTTAATATATATTTTGATCAGAAATTAATTTTTATCTTGTAACTTTTTTTGGATTATCATGGGCTTGATTTTATATACTCTCTTTGAGTAAATTGCTCAAAGCAAAGTAGTAGCAGAATCACACAGAATCACTGAGTGGCTGAGACTGTGGAGATTGTGTAGTTCTGCGCCCCAGCAGGTTGTTAGACACTAGATCAGTGAATATTGGGTCAGAACTACCTTGGCAGGAGGGTGGGAGGGTGTGTGTGTGGAGGCGGAAGGGATGGGTCAAAACTCACGGAGGTGGGGTGGCATCGTATCCCTCATGGCAGGCCCCTGGAACCCACACAAGGAAGCCCCGGAGTAGCTGTCAGTCACAAACATCCCAGGAAAACTACAACACACCACACCTCCTGCAGGATGGCAGGGACAGTGAGGACACTGCCCCTCACCCTGGCCTGGAACCCCAGAGTGGATAGTGGGTCAGAGGCCCCAGCTGGGGGAGGTTGGCCATGGGATCCAGAGCAGAAAAAGCCAAAAGCATATGTTTGCCATGTGTCATGGCCCTGCCACTTGGATGTGTGAGAGCTGGTCTTCCACAAAGTCTCAGTGGTAGCTATATGATTTCTCTTTCCCTCTTTCTCCTTCTCTCTTTTTGCTCCCTCTGCTTCTCTTTCTTTTCTTCTTTCTTGATGCTTTGGGTGGCTTGGAGCTGGAGGGAATGGACTTTGACTTAAGTGTTGTGGACTCCTTGGATTTTGACTTAAGTGTTGTGGATTAGTATGTGGTGGATTGGTATTGTGGTGGAACATTTTGTCTAGCTTGTGTAGGGCCTTTTTTGAACCTTTGCCAGGTTCCCTTATTTTCTCCCCTAAATTAATAAAGAAACACCTTGGGAACAAGTCTGTGGCATATTCTCTTGACACTATCTTGAGGTATTAAAGAACCCTATATCTGTATTTTAAAGTAAAACTCCTGGCTGGGCCCATGAGCTTGCAGCTCCCAGAGTTGGAGTGTTATACAGGTGCAGCCCTCTGCTCCAGCAGTGTCAGCTACAAGAGGGCTATCCAGTATCGTTGTGTCCAATTGAGTTTGAGTATGCCCAAGAATGGATACTCTGCGACGTCTCTGGGTAGTCTTTTCCACTGTGTGGCCACTTTTAAAGGATAACAACACTTTATTATATTTAGCTGGAATTTCATTTGATTTTTATTTGTGCTTATTGACTCTTTTCCTGTCACTGTACATCACTTAGAAAAGTCTGTCTGCATCTTCTTTCTAGCCTGCCATCAGGTATTTATACATCTTGATAGTATACCTCTGAACTTTCCCTTCTCCAGGCTGAGCAGCCCCAGCTTTCCCAGCCCAGCAGATGCTCCAATACTTTCATTGTCTTTACGGCCCTCCATTGGGCTTAGTCCATCATTTCCATGTCTCTCCCTTACTGGGGAGCCCAGAATCAGACACAGCATCAAGATGTGCCTTAAAACTTTTGAATAGAGGGGAAGGATCACCTTCCTCCCCCTGCTGGCAGCACTATTCTCTGTGCAGCTCAGGATGTCACTGGCCTTTGGCACAAGGCCACATCACTGGCTGATGGTCAATCAGGTGTCCACCAGAATCCCCAGGGCACTTTCTGACAAGTTGCTTTCCAGCTTCTCAGTCCCCAGACTGTGCTTTTAAATGGGGTTATTGCTCCCTGGGGCTGGTACTTTGCACTTGTCTTTGTTGAACTTCAGGCCGTTTGTCCAGCCTGTCAAGGACTCCCTTAATGGCGGTACAAACATCTGTTGAAACAATTACCACCCCTCATTTTTGTGTCATCAGCAAAGTTGCCACTGTGCACTCTGTCCCATTGTCTAGGTCATTAATGAAGATGTTAAAAAGTGGTGGCCCCAGTGTTAGCCCCTAGGATGCTCCACAAGTGCCTGGCCTCAAACTGGTCTTTGTGCCACTGATCACAACTCTTTAAACCTGGTAGTTCTGCCAGGTTCAAGGGAAACTTACCATCCACTTACCTACCCTGTACCTTATCAGTCCGTCTATGGGCATTTTATGGGAGACAATGTCAAAAGCCTTACTGCAATCAAAACAAACCGCACCCACTGCTCACCCCTTAGCCACTGAGATAGTAATTTCATCAGAGAAGGCTGCCAGGCCAGTTAGGCGTTATTTCCCCTTTGTGAATTCCTTATGACCAATCCCAGTGATTATCTTGTCCTTTATATGGTTCATCACCTTCCCAGGGACTAAGGTATGGTTGATTCCTGGTAGTTTCCCAGACCCTTCTTCTTGAGCATAGTTCTTCCTGAAGAACCTCTGTCTGTGCATGTCCATGCTTCAGTCATGTGAGTTGTCCCAGCTTGTCTCTATGATCCCAATGAGCCCTGCAGCTGCAGACAGATCTTTCATTCCTCCAGAGATTTTCCATGGGGGTGTGCTGTGTGCATTTGAACAGCAACTTCAGATGGGTACCCGGTTGTGTTTATTTCCCAAGAAGACCCTTAAGAGCCTCCCCCATACTATCAGCACTCCCTTATTTATGTGCATATGGTGGAGGTAGTCTTCCCTGAGCATTCTGATGCTCATCACAAGGTCTTTTCTGTCCATATCTACCTGTGTCCCTTGCTTGCCAGCCCAGGCCACAGCTTCCTCACTTGTTATTTCATCAACATTGCTGTCCCCTACCGTTCCTAGTTTAAAGCTCCCATCATCAAATTGGCCTGTCTGTTATCAAAGGTGCTTTATTCTGTGTATTTATTTGTATTGCACCATTGGTACTGAATAATTCCTGTTAGGATGCACATAATTTCCTTTTTCCTTTGTAAAAATGAAATAAAAGAAGGATCCCCCATTGATTGGTAAGGTAAAAATAGTGCCTCATTCACTAAAGAGGAAAGCAAGTTAAAGTATGTATCTGAATAAATAAAGTTTGATTTTTAAAATGTGTTGTAAGGGTGGTGACAGTTTCCTTACACTTGGAAATCCTTGGATTTAACATGAGCAAACATGTTAATGTGTTCTGACTGTGCTGCAGTTCTTGTGTGACTGCAAGGTTTAACTTTCCTCCCGATCCTCTCCCCTTAAGGATTTGACTCAAACCCTGATAAAAGTCAACAAAAAAAGATTCCCATTGACCTTAATACACTTTGTGGGCAGATCACTAGAGAACACATAATACCGAGCATTCTCGGGTGGCAGACATAGATAACTGCATTGATGTTTGCATACAAATTAAAGAGCAGCAATATAGCAGACTGGTCTTGGCAATAGTTACTGCCAACATTTCCAACAGTATCTGAGGATTCAATGTTATCCCATGTTTTTCCCTTCCACAAGAAAACCAAGATCTGATTGGAGAACCTGTGCAAAATTAATATAATCTGTGTTTTAACTGCAGTGAAAAGTTGTGTCATTTCTACTTGAACTGCTTGTTTGGAGGCCTGTTGTACAGCTGTCAGAAAGTGCAGATATATCACTGAGTTCTTATTTCTGCTGTTGTGCTTCTGAGCAGAATTAAGTTAGTACATATGAAGTACATACTGCAATTGTACTTTGGTTTTCTAATGTCTTTAATGTATCTCTACCCCTGTTAGCTTTGGGGAACCACTTTACATTTCATGAAGAACATTAGGACTTACTGTTAAGTCCTAGTAAGCATAGTAAGCATGTTAAGTGTCATCCTGTGTTGGTCTCTTAACAGGCTTTTTTAAACAGTGTATTTTAACAAAATTAAGTTGTCTGACTGTCCTGTTGTGGTCCATGTAACTTAAATTCTTATATAATTATTCAGATGTATCTTTATTGAATTATCATCCTATTAAATAGTGACAAAGGTCTTCAGAAATGTTTTTTGGAAAGTTCCCTTAAAATATTTTCTTTGTCATTCTGCTTTTTCTCTGGAAAACACAATGAAGTTGGTATTTCTCCTTACCTTTTGTATGCTAATATTTGCCTGAACATCTCAGGAGTATTATAAAATTGCAATGATAACTCCTGTTGTAAATAATTATTCTAGGCAGAAAGATGATGCTTATGTGTTGGAGGTTACAGACACAATTCTTTGAGGAAGAAAGGAAGAAAATTAGTTGGAGTGCTAAGTGTATATTTCAGTATCAGTATGTCTGTGAGATATGCTTGTGAATTAAAAAGCGAACTAAGCATAAAATATGTAAATAGGGATTAATAGTTATCTGAACTTCTAATATATGTTACAGAAAATATTTTAAATTTTTAATCATTGTTTATGATAAGTAAGAGTTACTGATCTTCGTCCTTAGTTTAGAAAATCCATCAGCAGTACAGTTAAATTATCAAGCAGGCTGATTATAGTAGCTTTATCCTATGGTTATATTACAGTGTGATTCCTATTATTGTCTTCATAGAGCTTTTTATTATTTTATGTAATACACACTGAAGTTTTTGCTTATTTTGCTTATGGTTGTTGCAGTATGCTGTACATGTAGACAAAAATAATTTATCAGCAAACATACTTTGTGTGTCTAGGGAGCAGATGCATTTCAGAAAAGACTTGCTTCAAACATACTCTGAAAGTTAAGAAAAACTTGTATCTCCTTCTGATAGTTCTAGTTTAAAAAAAAATTAAACTTATTTTACAGTCGATGTGTTCTACATATTTTACATTTTGACACTGCTGAAGAGTTAACTGAATATTGATTAGAAAACAATGCAGTAGTGAAAATCCATTTATTTTAGAACAGTTAATGCATGAGAGGGAAATTGAAAGGCATTCCATTTTGAAACTAAACTGCTTTCTAGATATTTCTCAAAAGTGTGTGATATTTTATATGTAACTTCTAGTGTTTGCAAGGCAATTGGCAGAAAAAATAAATGAAAATAGAAAGCTCATTAGCTACAATAAAATTCTTTCAATTCAATTTTTTAATGGAGTTTGTTCTTTTTCTGAATTTCTTTTTGTTGCTCTTTTTGCACAGGAAGGAGTTACAGGAGCTGCAGAATCTTTGTGGACAAAACACTGAATATACAGCACAGCAGGGTGAGCTGATAAAGCAGGTTCAGGCTCTCAATGGTAATACACAAAAAGTAATGAAAGACCAAGAAGATGCTCACACAGCTGAAATAACATTATATCAAAAAATATGTTATTCTACTTTATGGTCACAGGGTTCATTTTAATATGCATCTGTACAATATCAGTGGACAGAGTAATCAAAGCACTTTGTAGTGTTTTATCCTTTATATGTCTATATTTTTATTGTTGCAAAATATGGTTGAGAAGCAGAGTTTATTGGCTCAATTACATACTAGCATATATGGCTCTGTGCATACATTGGATTGATGACCCTTAAAAATTAGGATTTTGTTGCATCTGAAGAAAAATAGGAATGAGTTGCCAAGTATATACATTTCTTTATGTAATTTTGTGTTATTTGTGTTTATTTCTTCTGCTGCTGGAGGACAGGAACTTTTAGTTACTGAATTCTCCAAATTGCTTTTCTTAGTTTGGTGGAAGAAATTCCTTTTACTTGTAAACAATGGATTTGTGTGAATCGCAAATAACTTTAGTGATTTAAGATGCAAAAACCTACTCTATCAAAATTAACTGGAAAAATTGTTGCTATAGTATCTTTTAAAATATTTACACTTGCAGACCAGTTTCATATTTTTGGTGACTGTCAGGGAAAATGTTAACCCTGAAGAGCTGTCACACATGCACTACTCAGAACTTCTTTTAGGTTACCAAGTTATATGGATGTGTTTTTCAGTTTATAAGAAATATGGAAGATATGTTTGCTTCCTTTTTAGAAACACTGAGAAGGAAGAAGACAAGTAATAAGTTGTATATATAATTTTTACACACCTTTTACCATCTTGGAACTACTTTCACAAATTGTATACTGCCAGTGCTTTTTCCCAAAAAGGTGTCTCCCTTTGTCATCTTACTTAGAGTGTGCAGTTTGTGATAAAATTGTGAAGCTAAGCCTCAGTCAAGCCAGAATCAGTACTGGGTTTCTAAAGATGTTTTTGATTAGCATTTTATAGCTCATAGTGCCAACACATTTTTGTGTACTTAATGCTGTACTGTGTGCTGCAGTTTGCATTACAAATTTTGTGGAATTATAAATTTTTGTGGAATACCAGCATAAAGAGCTCCTGTACAGAAAAAGGAAGAAAAAATCCCCTACCCTACAAAGCTCTACAGTTTACTATTAATTGACTGCAGTGATGACAGACATTAAGTCTCTCATACATTACAATAGTAACTGAGTCAAGCAACAGGTAGATTTCCACTAAAGTTGTTCAGAACCTGTAGGAGGCAACAGGAGTTTACCTATTTGGGACAGACAAAGTAAATTATAGAATGAAAAAAAGAGAGAATGTAGGTAATATGTAAATATGTTAAAAAAAAAATGTAGTAAAAGAAAAAGAAGTAAAAAAAGGAGAAGTAAAGTTCCCGAAGTCGGAGTGGAATCGAGTTTATAATGTTTGTGGCAAATTGAGTTGAGAGCTTTGGAAGGGAAAACAGACAATCCTGTTCTGTATTTCTGTTTTGTATCATGACAATCCTGTTCTGTATTTCTGATCAGAACTGTATAAAACACCCAACTATAATTGCTTCAAAGTAATGTGCATTTTTCAAATCACCAGATACACAGTTCTACTGAAGTCACAGCAGGCGTTTGGGAAACTCAGTATCTATAGAAGTAATACAAATGTCTATTTTCTCCCTTGAATGAGAAAGGCAAACTATTGCAGACAAATGTTTTTTCTGTTTGTCTTCCCTGTATTAATAATATGCAGGTTGCAACAGCTGGATAAGGATGTGTCAGCTACTCCATAAACACAGTCACAAAGGAATATTTTCCTCCTGCTTCAAATGGTATTGAGCCTATCAGCATGTACATCCTGTCATATATTGTCCCTTACTGCAAGATCAGTGACCTCTCTGGTCAGATAGGCAGTATATGCTATAGCTTAGGCAGTGTGGCTGGCTGACATATTCCGAGTTCATTTTAATGGTCTACCATTGAGAAGAACAGATCTTTGTGCTGATGTTAATGTGTAGTATGAAACAGTGGACTGAAAAAAGAGAAAGCTTTCCTAATAAACCTGACCAAGGTCATAAATTTACACTGGATTATGTGTAAATCCAGTCAAGACCACAAATTCTCTTCCAAGTCTAGCTGTAGTGAGCAGCGCGTAAAGATCTGTAATCTCTTTTATCTAGTTGCGTTGACTTTACATACTACTTTTTTTTCTCTAAGTGCAGATTTTAAGGATACTGTGTTCTACATAACTCCTTTACATTAGAGCTTTTATGGAAACAAATTGGTATCTCTTTCATATTGCAGCTGTAGTTCGCATTCTCAAGGATAGAGAATATTTTTCTAAAATGTATAGCATCTGTTTTAGTGGTCCCAGATGCTCTGGGGAGTTCATTCCTGTGCTGGATTTAATGAGACTCCATAGATTTGTCCTCACCAACAATTTCAAGGTGGAGAGATTTCAATCAATACTAGGGATAATAAGACAAGAAAAGATTCTGAAGTCCTTAGCCAGCTTATCACAGTTTTCTGAAATTTACAATTTAAGGCCCTTGTTTTTATAATGCAGTACTTTCTCTTGATCTGATGTGACCTTTAGGACCTATGTTAATCACACTGATTAAGTCTTTCAATGGAAGGCCCTTTTAGTGGAGCAGAAATATTCCAGTAATTTGTCATTCAATGGGAAATGATAATTCATGTCCTGGAACTTGGCTCTCACATAGAGAATACTGTGGATAATGGTATAGTGCAAGTCTGTAATGAAGAAAATATTGTTCACTAGTTAGATTTTTGGTGTAATTAGCAAACACAGTAAGAGTTTTCAATTATGAGGTATTGTGGAAGTCTGCATCAAGTGCACCAGCAAGTAGATGAAAAATATGAAAGTGATAGATATACTTTCAGATGTTAGTTTTGTACCTTTAGTTGCCTTTGCTAGTGTGTCAGTGTGTAGAGATAGTTTGCTTTCCTTCAAACCTGAAAAATTGTAATCAGTACATCAAGTTACTGTGTTTACCATATTAAGGTTAAATTTTACCATGTCCAGTATTTTTTGTAACTGCAACAACCTTTAAGCATAGTTAAAAATACATAAATGTGTTCATTTTTATGTAAGCAGCATCAAGTTCACAAAATAAAAACTAAACCCATACAAATCTGTAAATGGCAGTAACAATGCAGGTTCTTAAACATATTGGAATGAAAAGTGTAAGTTCTTTCACACATGATAAGAGTAAAACTATCTGTCTAGTCAAATATGGTGACGCCCACATCAGTAATAAGTAAACCATCGTTTTCCTAGTCCACTTTGTATATTAAAGTTGTGAAGAACTCAGATCTTCAACAGGTTCACATACTCTAGTTCAAGCTCGGATACTGTTTTCTATTGTTGGGAAGTGTGTTAATTAGCTTAGTCTTTGTTCTTGTATACCAAACATCAGTACAGTTGGTCACATGCTAGCAAGTAAATTTTTGGCATCAGATGTGCCTGTAGGCTAAAACTGAATAAATCCTGGGTAGACTCTGGTTCTTTTAGGGTGATGTTAAATTGTGCACTCACAGGTGTTGATTTTCATGCTTGAAAAGCCCTGTACTGATACTCTTAGTGTGCGGTAGTTCCTGTGTGTAGTGGTGTAGATTGGTGTCTGCAGAATATTCAAGTATTTGGGAAAAAAAATTTAATAATTTATAAATAAAATAAACATCATGAAAGGGCTATGTAGAGTTTGTCTGGAGTGTCTCTTCAGCTACACTCTAGAGCTTTATCAGCAGATTTCTGTCCTTGTTCTTTTCGAGTTCTCATAAACAGCATGGCTTGTAACATGGCTTTCTGCAATGGTGCTATAATAATTTCCATTATAGTTTTAGTATGTCTTAATTTAGACTAACCTTTTTTTTATTTGTGTGATTACTATATGGTCAGTATTACTGTAGGTTAGGGTTCATAAAAGACTGGACATGGCACTGAGCGCTATGGTTCAGTTGACATGATGAGTTTTGGTCAAAGATTGAACTTCATGATCTTGAAGGTCTATTCCAACCTTAGTGATTCTATGATTTTATTTACTCTGGTCTCTGTAATACACTTTTTTAGGGTGTGAGCATTTAGATAAAACATTTAATGTTGGAGAATATTTGTTCTATACCCAATGCATATATATATAGCTACTGTTATGTTTCATGAGATGGATCTACCTTAGTGTTAGTTCCTCACCGGAGATTTTGAAGGAAGTCTCCTAAATGGCCCCACTCCCTGTACTTTAGTTGATACCACAGAAAAATTCATGAGAGTATTAACTAAATGCCTTTTGGAGTATGGAACTGGAAATTATTTTTGAACTGAAAAGTATGCCCCAGCTGTTAGCTGGCATGTAGTGCACAGGAGCCATCTAAACCTAGTTTAAAATAAATCCTACACACTTCTCTACTGTTAGTGTTGGTCATTTGTTTCAACTGTTTCACTCTGCAGTTTTTTTTCTAGCTGCACTGTGATTCTGGCTAACATGCCATACCACACAATAAATAGCATGGGTTAATTATTTAATTTTGCTTTGTTTTGTTGGAATTTCTCAGCTTTCTTTTCTCTGATCTAAGTTAATTTTGCCATAACACGTATTTAATATATATCAGTAGTACTTCCTCATCCCATATTATCAGACTGTTAAATGTTTTCTATTGCATATGAGCAGGCATTAGAGTTCCATTTTTTGATTCTGGAATTCCTGGCTTTGGTTTGATATTTTTAGGTTACTTGATGGCATTACATTTTCTGTTTTAAGTAACTCTTCAAAGGTGTACCAAAAAGTATTTTCTGGTGAAATTGGGTAAATCAATATAGAAAATTGTTAGGATAGCTAAGAAATATGGGATACTTTATTTTTTTGCAATGCAGCTAAGTTACCCTTTCTGACTGATGAATAATGCTCTTGTATCATACAGACTAAATTTATTACAGTGTACTGATTTCAGATACTTCTAATCTTTTCTCCTTTGTTTTTAAGTACCTTCACCTGCAATAATCTGTGCTGCCTGTCAGAGAAAGGGCAGCTGTAACGCCTTAGAAAGAGATTCTGAAAGTATAGTCAGTGCAACAGTTTTTGCAAAGCAGTCTTGTGTCTCTTGCTAATGCTTTTTTTTTTCAAATACCAAGTGTCATAAAATGTTATAAAGAATTATTTTAAATATTTTCCTTTTTATTTCTATCTTGTAAACATAAATATTTTTTTATAACTTTGTTGGGGGATTACCAAGCTTACTGGGTAAATCTCATGTCCTGTTGACATTCAGGTAAGATATAACCATTCACATAGGTACAGTCAAGATTCCACTCATTTCTTCTGTGAAGCTTGCTAGTTCTGAGATAAATAATTTACAATATTTTTTCTTTCTTTGGCTGTTCTATGCGATGTTCCTTCTCTAATCATCTGATCTCCATTTTACAATGCTTCTCCACACCTGACTTTGTTTATTAATGATAGACCTACTTTGTTTATTAATGATAGACCTATTTCATTGTGCTGTGCAAGTCTTTGTATTTTAGAATGTGCTCACTGCAATGTGATTAATTGTAGTGCCTCTTCTGAACAGGGTCAGAAATGAGCAGTAAACCCCAAAATAATCCAATATAAACAATAGGCGCTCATTAATCCACAAAACAGTAAAAGAAAAGATGCGGATCCAAATAGAAATTTGGAAGCTGTTCCAGTTGTCTGTGGACAGTAGATGAAACTATTTATTTTTGTACAGATAATTTTAATTTTGAAAATTCCTGATGTTAAATTCCTTAAAAAAACAATCTGTGTACATTGGTGGTGTTTAAAAAATATATAAACCTTGGTGTAAAGAGATGAGTGGTATGAATGGTTTTTTGCACGTAGCTTTTAGCTGGTTTTATACTTGAAATATATGTGTTTTGTGTTTTAGTACTGTTTTCAAAGCAGGAAAGGTTGGAAAAGTTTGTGCAAGTCAAAAGATGTGCTATTTGTCTTGCCCTGACAAATGCTGATTACCAAAAATACCCCATTAGCTGCATTAGGGGATGTGGCTGCCAACTAGGAAAAGACATCGTATTTTTGATGTTCTCCATTCATCTTACTAGGACACTACCTTTCAGATACTATAATTACAACCATTTAAGTACTTCTAGTCATAAAAACAGCAAATTGTCATACCAGGATGATCTAGCTAATGAGCTTATATAGTTATAGCTGGAAGTAACTGTGTCTTGATGTTCCATTCATTTGGAAGGATATTATCTAAAAATGCATGTTTTTGATAAATGAACTGGTTATTTTCCTGTGAGATACTTACTGATTTTTCATAAGAAATTGCCTAATCTTGAACTTGCATTTCTAGAGATGATGTAAGCATTCTTAAATAAAAAAGACTCAGTAGGCACAGAAATTTCAATGGAAATGTTTAATGACTTGGAGCCATTTGAAATATCAATCTGTCTGGACTTTGCATTAATTTTGCCTGAGAGACATGATCTCTGGTCTGCCTTGGAAATAGGCAAGAAGTAATTTACTTTGTCCTAAGTGGATTTTGAGAGACCATGGGAGTAGAAAATGTTAGGAAGAAGGAAAGGGGAGATTATTGTTTCCAAATTTCTCAGAAAATGTTGGGTAGACAGTTTACCACTTGAAAAGTTGTGACTGTTTTTCAAAGGCTTTAACTTCTAAGTGATGTAAACAGATGAAAGGGAGGAAGGATTGTATAATTTAAATAAAACTGGCAACACAAGGGGTAAAATGAAGAGTAAAATAGTGTTTTTACAAGTGTTTTTATCTTGTGTCAATTTCTTGTGCTTACAAACATTATTGATATATTTCGAAAATCTGATTTTCATATTTAAATTTTTTTTTTTAATTGAATGGCAGAGATGGATTTTCCAAAGAAAGCTGTTCCCTGCAGGTGTACATTCATGCCTTCTGTAGATCATTTTATGGTAGAATAGTCAGAGGATATATTGTTCATTTTGAGAAAAAAGGACAATCAAAGGAATGAAGGACTGAAATGAAGAGAGGAAGGACTGTATGATTAGCTAGTAAAGGTGCAGTCATGTATTTCCTTTAGAATCCGTACTGTTTATTCAACTACAGGTTTATTTTCCAAACTGTTTTTTCTCTTTTTTAGCGATGAATCATTTTAAATAATGTTCAGATGTTTAAACGGAAAAAGATGGGTAACATTGGAGATATGGGGTGGTTATTAACTTATTTTGCAAGAATAAGAGAACTTATTTTTGTCAGATGGCATGTACTGCTAGTTTTTTAGTACTTGTTTTAGAAACTCTTTGTGTGTGTGAAGTCTGTTCTAAAGCAAGTGCAAAACATATATACAATATTCTGGTTTCAGAAAGAACAGTTGAACAACAACCAGGGATAAGAACTTACAATATAATCTCTGGGGTTTATAGTTAATGTGAAAAAAATTCCCACAGAATAACTACACAACCATTTTACACTTCATACAAAATGCGATAGGCATTAGTGGAATCATTGTATTTCTATCTGAGCTATGTTTAAAATGTTACTTTTAAAAGATGAAACTACTTTATAAAAGACAAGAATGGTATTTGGTATTCTTGCTCCTTTAATTTAATTCCCTGAACAGATATTTTATTTTTTTTGCCTATTTTCAGGAAGGGATTTTCTTTTCCTTTAGTATTTTCTGTATTTTATATAAACTGTTGAAGAAGTAAAATCAATCCTGATTTTTAGATGGCCATTTCTATTGATAAATGCTATAGAGAAGCAACTGAAACTGATAATATTCTACTGTGAGCTGTATTTTTCTGGAAAACTTATTTCAAACTTAAAGTTTCAATGATTGTTGCAATTTTGAAATGTATAGAACTGGACAGGAGGCAGGAGGACAAGTGTGAACAAATTGTTAAATGTAAAAAAGAGGGTGATCTTTGTGGATAAGTTACTTAAATTATACTTTCTGTATTAATGTGGTTATCTGCATTGGAGTTATTTTTAATCCTGATATTTCTCTTTTCCCCTCTCATAGCTTTATAATGAGTTGCGTTTATGTTTTGAAACTGTTAAAACAAGTGAAATTCAACTGCAGCAAAGCTGTGCCTCTCTTCAGGATCAGTTACTTAAAAAAGATAAAACAATTTGTCTGTTGCAAGTGCAACTTCAGGAAGCACATAATGCTTCTACTGCAGTACATCAGAATTCTTCTCCAAAATATCAGGTACAGGTGAGTCCTCTTCTAGAATAACAAAAATTGTTTCTTCGTTTAAATTAAGCTTCTATATCAGACGGAAATTGCAATTTGGTGTTTTGTTGTTTTTTTTTTTAAACAAACATGCAACTATGCTGCTGCAGTACTGTAACAATTTCTGCTGTTGCTAATCAAAGCTACTTCACAATTAAATCTGTCATGGGGGAAAAAAAGAGTAATGGTGTCACTATTCAACAAGACTCTTATTTATATTCTCTAACAAAGATACCAAAAATAAAAATATAACCATAGTGCTACTGTTACTGAAAACAAATTCACTGAAAAACTTGTGAAGTATCTGAATTTCTTCTATGAAAATGAAATGTATTGTTTCTGATTTGTTACACTTTTCCCGACCATGCAAATAAATTTGAGATCATGGATCTAAAGAAAGTTTTATGGTGGGGAGAAGCATTTGTCTAAAAATTTCTAAGCTTTAGTGTGCCATTTGGAACTATTACCATAAATACATCCATCTAACAGGCCTCCAACTTTACAAGTGTACCAGGTCTTACATGTATACTCCTGACATTTTCCGAAGGCCAATTTATGACTTGAAGAGGGTTTGAAAGGCTTTGAAATTATCTACCCACATTGTTTTTGTAAACACTGTTGCTTAGTTTCTTCCATAGATACATCAGTGAGGTGTACATGTGAGTTTCAGTTTTACTAACACTCTTTCCCTTGATTAAGTAGAGAAGTGAAAATAATTAAGGTAATAATGCTTGTTAAATATAAAACTTTGCTTAGCATGGTGAAGTAAGGTAGATCTGTAATCAAGGATTATATTCATAAGCAAGTTGAATATTAAAAAAAACCCATAGTGTTTAATTCCTCAAGATTTGTGTAAATAGTTACCTGCTGTAAAACAAAAAACACAGAATGCAGTATCTCCTGGATTTGTTCTAATAGTCTTTTCAGAATAAATATTCTAACTTTATTTATTGTAAGATTCTTATTCTGTACTTAAATGATTTTTAAAGTTCCACTTAATCTAATGATGCAACAATTTTGTTTCACAAATGATATAATACATTCTTTTAACTATTGTGAATTGTCTACCTTTTGTTGTATTCCAGACCTCTTTCTGAGTCTTGAAATTTAGGGGTTTTTCTTTTAGAAGATTTTAGTGATTTTTTTGAAACATTATAAACTTAGTCTCCACACAGCTTTGGATCACAGTTTTTGAATTCTCAGGCTGTATTTCTCAACAAATCATTGAGCTTTCATCATATTATGTGGCTCTGTGTAGTTCTTTACAGTTTATTTTGTCATGTGATTTGATTTTTTTATCTTAAAAGCTTTTATTATGTCTGGATTATTTTTCTTGAAGTTGAGGAGGCCTTGGTTGTCTTTGTGAAGTGATCTTATAATGCTTTCCTCCATATGCAACACCTATATTGCCAAACCTGGATATTGTGTGGCAGTTTAGTAGATTCTCCCCCTCTACTCTGCTCTTGCGAGATCCCCACCTGGAGTGCTGTGTACAGTTCTCATGTCCCCAACACAACACAGACAGGAAACTGTTGGAGGAAGAAGGGACATGAAGTTGATAGGAGGATTGTAACATCTCCCCTACGAGGACAGATTGAGAAAGTTAGGGCTGTTCGACCTGGAGAAGAGAAAGTTGCATGGAGACCTCACAGCAACTTTCCATTATATAGAGGGATCTAGAGAGGGACTCTGTCAGGAACTGTAGTGACAGGACAGGGAGTAACAGGTACAAATTGAAAGAGGGGAAATTTAAGTTAGATATTAGGATAAAATTCTTTACTTTGAGAGTGGTCAGACATTGGAACAGGTTGCCCAGGGAGGTTGTGGATGCCCTAAACCTGGCAGTGTTCAAAGCCAGGTTGGATAAGGCCTTGAGCAACCTGGTCTGGGAAGTCTTCCTATGTTTCTTGAACATGTGGGACACTACAGGTGACTCTTTCCCACTGAGTAAACTAAGCATTTATTGCTATTACTTATTTCGTATATTTAAAGCAATTCTGTAACTGTAAGATTTTTTCTGCCTTGAAAATACAGCAGCTGGGTTTCTTTAGGAGCTCCTAGTATAGAGCTTTCATGAAATGCATTTCAAATCCAAGTAGAAAATTTGACTTGGATCAATTTTCTTTTCTTCTTTAAAGAACTTCAGGAAATTTCAGAGGCCAAAAGTAAGATTATTTTAAAAGGTAACGAATATCTGCATTGGTGATTCAACTTTATACTTGATTTCCTTTGGATATTTTAAATGAATTGCATCCAGCGGGGTTTAATTGTTACCATTTATTGATTTATTCCCTCTTCTTTCACCAGTATACTCCATGTAAATTAGCATCCAAATATGAAGCAGCCCTAAATTACTTAATGGTGAACATGGGTGCAAATAATTATTTTCCTGTGACCTTCTGTTGGCTTCCTGCCATATTTCATAGAGAATTTCTTTTTTCGTGAGTGAATGTAAGTTCAGTTGGACATTTTGCAGAAATATATTAGTTGAACATTCATGTGATCTGTCATGAGCTCAGTCAGATTATTTACCAGTCCTAATGTAGAAGATAAGGTAGGAAGCAGAAGTAGACAACTTGTGATAATGAATATAATATAGTAAGCTAAATGTAGTGTATGAAGCTTCATTTTTCAGTCAATTAATCTTAAACCAGGCTATGGTGGGACAAATGATTAGTGTTACTGAGCAGCCTCATAGGGAAGGAAATGTCTTTCATTAGGATACATAGCTACTAGGTTTGTTGAGAGATGTTGAAGCCGTATGTGCTTAACACGCTTAATGTTTTCTCTTGACTAACATTCTTGCATTCTGCTATAACAAGTATCCCAAATTTTATTGACATGCAGTCCTGCTCTGGTTGAAAGGCTACAGTATGCTTTTTGGGAATATATCATAATGCTCACTGTTGGCTGCATTTTGATGACAGACAAATTTCCCGTCATGAACTTCACTATCTTGTATAAATTTTAGAAAGATAATGGTTATTGTGTGTTTACACAGCTGAGGTTTCTGCAGGGGAAGAAAGGTGATTACCTATCACTCCTTCTCTGAACTGTTAGATAAGCATAGTTCTGCTCATTTGTGAAATTCTGAAGTTAAACTTGATTAAGAGGAGCCTCCTAACTTACTCTGCTGTCTCTTGACTGCAACATTAGAAAACAATGGATTTGGAAGTGAGGCTTAATTAATAGGACACCAAAACAATGTAGGCACCTACAAGTTTTCCTATTACCATTCCATGAAACGATCCTTCCTAAAAAAAGCAGTTGGTTTAAATGCAATTTTATTTCTGCTATAAAATACTGATTTCTTGAGCATGTTCAGATTCATGACTTGCTGAAAGTTCATCCAGTGGGACATGCTAACAGTCTGTTGACAGCACTGATGTATCTTCTTCAGACATTCAATAGCTAGTATACATCTGTGCTGCATATATTAGTGCTAACTTTCTAGTGGATTTGAACTTTTCTTGCTGTTGAGATTACATCATAGTCAGACAAAAATGAGTTTTATATTATTGGCTTTATTAGCAAGAATATCTCTTTTTTCTTTTAATAAGGGTAAAATATGCCTTTTTAAAATATTGTAATCTTAATCTAATCAGTGTGGCACTTCTGTTGGTGAGGGCAAACTTTTGATTCATTTCATTTTGTCTATTCTGCTAATGTGTGTCATAAAGAATTTGAGTCTGCTTTACAGTAAATTTCTATTTACATGTTAGAATATGTGCATTCAGCAGCTCTCACATGCCTAGTCTCTGCTCAGAGATTAGCTACCTTTGAATTTGGAAGTTATTTTAGTTGGATCTATGCTCAGGCTACACAGTAAAAAAAAATTAAATAGTTTTCAAGACATAAGCTTGTGGGGCTTGATTAATTTCATCTCATGTAATTGTTTTGGTTCTTTTTCATTATTGGTGTTCATTTTTAGCTCTGAGATGTATACCATACCTTTAGTCATACAATTAGTACTCCATAACTATTACCTATGTGAATAGTGTGTAAATATGTTTAAATTTGTTCCGTGTTTAAATATGTAATAGTAAAGAACCAGTATTTTCTAGTATTTGAAATACATAGATAAGTATAATTTTAACTTTACCTTTACAACATGTGTGATCTTCAATGTTAATGATGTCATTTTAATTTTTGCTATTTTTTATAGCAAATTATTTATGGTAGCTTCCAGCTGAACACTTTAAAAAAAAAAACAAACTAGTGTAAGTATGTGTCTGGTTGTTTCTCAGTCAAAGAAGCAATAATAATTTGTTACTTTCCAAATGTTTTTTCTTATACTAACATGTCATGAGACTACATTAACAATGTCCTGTATACATGTCTTTTAAACAAAATGGAAAGGAGAAAATACGGTATTGTTATTTTTCTACAAAGTCTTTTATTTGAACTGCACAGTTGTGGGATAATATAGACACATACAAAGGACTGTGTACTCAGTGGCTCTTGTCCTCAGAAAAGCTGTGTGGAGTTATAGCTTGTCTAACAGAGCCCGTGGAATTATCGTTGCTAGTGGGATCACAGTATAGTAGCACTTGATCACCATAAAATGCAATTTTAGTTACACCTGGGTGTGTTTAACTATGACAATTTGGGACTCCACCTGCAATGTTGTAGGTGTGCCAGGATGCAGGCATGTGTTGTCTCTAAAATAAGGAATAGTGGTTTGTGCAGCTTTTGAAATTACTTTAAAAAAGGAAAGAAATGCAGTGTACTTTAAGAAGGTACTATAAGTTTTGAAAACTAATCTACATCCTGTTCTACAGTGTTAAAAAGACAGAAACAAAAAAAAGAGCTGTTTTGAAGAATAGATTAATTTTCATTTAGTTTACTTTAACATTCCATATATCTATTTTCAATGTAGAATAATCGAAAAGGACCAACATACTGATAATGTGGGTTTATAATGCAAAGAGCAACTCAACTTTAACTACTCTACAGTGGCACTATTCATGCTGCTGTAATAA